GCATGGGAACCTCTGTCTGGAGGCCCTTTTTGGTCCTCTCTGGGGTGGGAGGGGGAGGGGAGGAGAGGAGGTGCCGAGAGCTGTCAGGCCTCTTGGCTCTTGCGTTATCTCTGTGGCTCAGGCAGCGGGTGGCGAAGTGCAGGGCGAGGGCAGGAAACCGGAGCAGGAAGCTCCGCAGCTGGCCTTTCCCACAGTTCCCGCTGGTGTCCTGCAGGCCTGCGCGAGGAAGCAGCCCTGCACCGGCCCCCAGCATGCCAGAGAGAGCCTCTGCATCTCGCGGCAGTGCTCAGCTGCCCAATCTCCAGCGCCAGCGCCAGGCTCGGGAGGCCCTGACAGGCCTCACTGGGCAGCTCTCCAGACACAGCAGGTCCCGGCCGGCCGGCCTCCCGCCAGCTCACACCTCGCTCCCTGGCTGGCGTGCGCCACGGCGACTCTGGCAGCACCAGTGGGCATGGCCAGTGGGTGGCACTGCAACCGCCACTTTGGGGGCAGGTCACGCAGCTGGGGGTCCCCCCCCCCAGCTGCTGACCTCTGCTCGGCTTCCCAGGCTGCTCGCTGTGGGAACGGGGGTCGTTCCCAGTGCCGCTCTGCAGCTTTGCCCCAGGCGCTCAGCTCCCGGGTGCCCGGCCAGGCCAGGCCAGGCCAGCAGGGCCCCTGGAGCTGGGCACAGCCAAGGCCGTCTGGAGAGTGAGGCAGCCACGGCGGCGTGTGCCAGGCGGCCACCTCCCGGCCCTCTTTGGCCCAGCTTGTCCCAGGCTCGCTGGAGCAGCCGCACGCCGGCTTCTGGGGCAGAAGGCGCGGCTCTGGCTCCATGGGGCGGCACTGGGGGGAACTGGGGAGGCGAGGCGTCCCCGCTTGCCTGGCCCACGGAGGCTCCTCTGAAGCGAGGCGAGTCCATGTGGCCGTCCGAGAGGAAGGAGCGCTCTGCCTGGCGCGGGAGGGGCAGGGCGACCTCTCTGGCTCGCAGGGACGGGCACGGGTGCCCAGCCTTTGCCATGCGGACAGGATGTGGCCCGGCCAGCGGGCAAGGCAGGGCTCTTGCAGACCCCCCTCCTGCCGAGAGCAGAGCGGCAGCCTCCCTCTGCGGCTAACTGCCCCTGCTCTGGAGCCTGTCCAGTGGATCACGCCCAAAAAGGGTCTGACCGCCAGCCCCACCCGCGCCCTGGTGCTTAGACCCAGAGCCCCGAAGCGGAGCCACCGGCACAATCGCGCCTGTCCTGGGATGAAAGAGCCTCTGTCTCTCCGGAGGAAAGCCTCGGGCTCCGGGCAGTCTGAGGAGGCGCTTGCAAACCTGCGGCGGGCCCTCCTGTGCCCACACGGCTGGCCGGCTGGCCGCCTCCACCCTCCACGCCTCTGCCCCCAGGGGAGGGTCTATTTATGGGCAGGCAGGGGGCGGACGGTCCGTGCTGCTTGAGCAGCTCAGGACAAGCCGCTGCGAAGGACACCCGCTGGAAAAAGCCTCTGACCCCACGCCCTGGAATCGCTCGCAGCACTGGGGCGGGAACGGAGCTCCCTGGCCCTGCTTGGGAACAAGGCGGTGCGGGGAGCGCGTTTCCTGCCCCCGTCCCCGGGGGCTGACTAATGGCTCGGGCGACTCAGGGAAGCAGCGGCCAGCCGTGCTCTCACACCGCCCCAGCCGCGCGTCCCCCACCCGGGGGCCCCTCGGACGGGCGAGGGCGAGATGCTCCAGCGCGACGTTTTGGCTGCCAGCGCGCCAGGGCGTGGCGGGGGGGGGGGGGGCACCCCGGGGGCCCGGGGGGGCGGCGGCTGATGGGGGCAGGGGGGGGGGGGCCCGGGGGGGCCCCCCTGGGGGGGGGGGGGGGCGCCCGTCCCCACGGCGAGGCGGGGGGCAGGCGCAAGGTGTGCCGTGCGGTTCCTCCCGGCGCTGCTCTCGCGCCTGTCTGCGCAGGGCGAGCCGGACCACAGTCTCCATCTGCCGCGGGCGCCTCCTCGCGCACGGAGCGGCGGGCAGGGCGAAAGCGGCTCGGTCTCGCCCGCGGCTGCCCGCCCGCGCCTCCCGTGGGAGTTTGCAGCCAGGCCGCGGCGGGGGCCGCCTCTGGCCCCGGGCACTTGGGGGCGGGCAGCCCTGGCGGTGCAGGGGGCGGACACGCGCCGGCCGGCAGCAGCGCCCTCCGGGCCCCCCGACCCCGCACCCTCGTCGGGAGCAGCAGGGAGGGGCCCCGCCACCGGCTCACGGGGGAGCCTCCGCGTCGCCCGGAGGAGGTCTCGGCGGCACCCCCAGGCCCCCGGAGCCCTGCAGGGCCGGTTCTGCCAGGGACCGAGGGCTCCGTGGTTCCCCACGCCCCCACGGCTTCGGGGTGTCCGGCCCGCCTCGCCTCGCCTGCAGAGCGTGGAAAAGGAGCCCTTTCTCTCCGGTGAATCTTAGCCCCACCGACGGAGGAAGGGCAGCCGAGATGATGGGAGCCAGTGGGGCTGCTCAGCCCTCATGAAAGGCGAGCGGGGCAGCCAGAGGCGCTTGAGATAAAGCCTGGCGTGGAGGAGGTGGAGCCCGGGACATTTCTCTCCCTCTCCCATGACGCTTGAACCCGGGGTCACCCTGTGAAGCTGCCTGAGGGGCGGCTGCAGGCACGTAAGAGGAGGTATTTCTGCACTTGGCAACACTGAAGTGGCGGCCTCGGTGGCTTTAAAGGGGGAATGGGCGGATTCACGGGGCGAGGGGGGCGTCAGTGGCCGGTAGCCTTGCTGACCACGTGCCCCCTCCTTCCGCAGAGCTGACGGGCCTGCACGCCCCTTCACCGAGCAGCTGGGCAGGGGAAGGCCTCGCGCCCCTCCTGTTGGAAGGATCCTGCGGCGGCTGGTTCGCCACCGCGTGTGCGAAGGGCTGGACCACCTGGACCATGTGTCTGATCTGGCAGTGCCGTCCTCGTGCTCTTGTATCTTGGACCAGACACTCCAGCCTGCCTTCGCATGGCCAGCCCTCCCAAACCATAACGGTCTAAAAGCACGAGGAGGGGGCAGCTTTGCCGGGCGCAAAGGCAAACACCTGGGCCCCAACTGCCCCCCAAATGGAGGAGAGTCTCCTGGGTTCAGAGGGGTGCTTTCCCCCTCCACGGCCTTTCCTGGGGCCCTGAGCCCCTGCGGAGCTGCTCCGGGCAGCTGGGCAGCCCTGGGAGGGTGTGGGACATGGGGCAGGGGCTGCCTTTGCGGGGAAGCTTGGCAGAAAATATCCCTCTCTCTTCTGCGCGCATGAAGTGACTGAGGATCCGAGCCCCGGGCTCTCTGGGTGGCTTCGAGCAGATCAGCCCCAGCCGATCCCCTCCCTGGAGGAGCTGCAGGCGCCCGCCGGGCTCGTGGCTGCTGGTGCTGGGGCGCATGTGCTCCGTCTCGGGCTGATGCTTCCGAGATGCTGGCTGCACGCAGGACCACATGTGCCAGCTGGGGCATGGCTGGGCACGGAAGGCACGGATCGTCCAGGCCTGCAAGCACCGTGATGCCGGCAGGGGACCCTTTCCTGGGCCCCAATGTGGGCCCCCCCGGACCCTGAGGACACGCACAAGGGCCGTTAAGTTAACCCCCAAACCGTGGCTCCGTGGCAGAGTGCATGCCAGGCAGGCAGACTGGCCCTGGAGCATTGCGAGCGATCGCGGTGTGCTGCCAGTCCGGGCTGACCGTATTGGGCTCTTTGAGCCGTGGGCCTGGCCCGGAAAAGGCAGCCTCCCTCGTTCCCAGGAGAGCCACTTTCTGGGCCGTGTGTGGTTTCATTGCCCAAAGGGCTGGCCCGGAAGTGAGGCTCGTTCTGTGAAATGCGGTGCGTGGCAAGCAACAGCTGCGCTTATTCCCGGAGGGCACATGGCCCAGGCTGGCGGGAGCCTTCTGTGGGCAAGCCGCGTCCACCCGAAGTGGGCCCCTCGATTCGTTTCCGTCACGTGCGGGGGGTTTTGATGTCTTTGCATCACCTGCACGAAACCAAGGGGTCCACTTTGCAGGCCAAGCAAAGCTGGCCGCTCAAAGGGGGCTGGGCCTCTCGCCTCGGTGCGCCTGAGCCCCCAACCTTCTCGGGCAGAAGCAGCCTCTCCGGAATGACCGGGCAAAGGGCAACTGCCTGCTGGGGGTGGGGGTGGCCGGCCTCGGTGGCTGCCTCTCCCAAGGGACCCCGTGGCGTGGCTCCTGCTACAAGCGGTGCCAGGAAGAGGGAATTCCCCCCCCCCCCCGCCACTGCAGTTGCCCCCACTCGTTCCAAGCAGCACTCGGGGACCGGGGAGCCTGGAGGGGTCTGAGGGGAAGGCAGGGGCCCGGCTTGGCCGGCCGTCAGTCTGGCCTGGAGCCGTCCTCGTCCCGCGGGGAACTGCCCGGCGAGGCGCCAGAGACTTGGGCTTCTTCTGGGTTGCTTCCCGGCCTTCGGCCATCCCGTCTCCAAGGCCACATGCCCCTCTGGACAGGCCGGACTCCAAGGCTCGGCCTGGGGTCCGGGTGCTGCTCAGAGGCAGCTTTTCCGGCGAGTGGCTCAGCCTTGGCTTCCGCTTCTGTGCTTTGGATATCCTGCTCCGGCTGCAGCCATTTCTGTGCTGGGGGCGGAAGGGCAGCTTTGCAGAGTCGGGGGGTCCGGGCCGGAGGCGTTGCTCTCTCCCGGCATGCAGCGTCTCTCGCCCACCCCGGCCTGTCGCCACTTACAGCGCCCCTCCCCGCTTCCCCCGCAGGATGCCCCCCACATCTGCTGGACTGCAGCTCCATATTTCCCGGCCGGGAAGGCAGTTGGCAAAACTCACCCCCCCTCGGCCCTCTGTGGCCATTTTGCCCCCTGTCAGTTGGCGGCCTCGCGTGATGCATGTGCCTCAACCCCATGTGCCACGCCAGAGACGGCCATGCGCAGTCCCCGGCGTCCTCTGCACCCTCCCGTTTCCCAGCCTGGCAAAATGCCCCACGCCCGTCCCTGGCCGGTCCCTGGCCGGGAGCAGTCCTGTTCGTGGTGCCCCAAAGAGCACCCACAGGCTGCATTTCGGCACAGAGGTTGCCAGCTCGCCCGCTCCTTTCTTCTGCAGGGCCTTGTCCCATCGAGTCCTCGGGGACCAGATCCCCTTTCCCGCTCTCCTGCTCCCTGGAAGAAGCGACGTGGAGCTCGGCAGTGGAGAGCCAGGACGGGGCCACCCTGTCCGTGTCCATCGTCTCCCCGCCCGACGCCCGCATCGGCCGCTACCGCCTGACCCTGGATGCCTCCACAGAGCAGCAGGGCTGCAGCTTCAGCCTCGGCGAGTTCACCCTCCTCTTCAACCCCTGGTGCCCAGGTGGGTCTCGCGCCGTCCGGGACGCACGTGGGCAAACTTCCTCTAGCACGTGGCCCTGAGGACTAGCCGCCGGCCTTTCTCCCACCGCAGATTTGCCCAGTCGCCCTTTCAGGGCAGGGCCGGAGCCGCAGGGGAGATGCGCCGATGCGGCGCCGTGCGGAGGGGCAGGCAGGTTGCCGCGGAGCTGGGCGGGTCTTGGCCACTTTGCCTGCAGCCCCCCCTCAGTCGCGCCCCCTGCCCACTCTCTTCCTGCGCTCCCTCCCCTACCTAGAGGACTCGGTCTTTCTGGAAGATGAGGAGGAACGCCTCGAGTATGTGCTGACTCAGCACGGACTCATCTACCAAGGGTCCAGCGACTACATCCGTCCCATCCCATGGAACTTTGGGCAGGTGAGCTTCTCCCCGGGGAACGGGGGGCGGGGGGCCTCCGGAGGCCAAGCGCTCGAGGGAGCCTTTCGGCTGAGGCCGGCAAGGGCAAGGGCTGCCCGGAGAGTCCCGCACATCTTTCCCTGCTGACTGCCGTCCCGTTCTTGCGGTGCGTTAGTCTCTTGCCCCGCACGGTCCTTTTGGGGAGGGCTGCACCGAACTGCTGCTCTGAGCCCGGACGCTCTCACGGCAAAGCTGCCTGCCCCCTTTCACAAGCGAGGAGACCACCTCCTCCGGTTAAGCCTTCGCTTGACAGCTGAGCCTCCCCGGACCCGCTGAGGGCCTCTCGGGGTCGGTGCCTGGGCGGCGCTCGCGGCACTTCCGAGACCTCGCTCGGGCCGGTCATGAGGCTTCCCGTTTTCAGAACAAGGGGGTTCTGCTCCCCCTGCTCTCATCACACGTGAACATAATGATGGGGTGCTAATGACCAAGACCTCGCTCACATTTTCGAGGTGCAATTCTTTTTCTGACAGCCGTTCGGAGGGCGCAAAAGCCAATATCCCACAAATGAAGACCCCCAAAGGAGGCCAGAGACTGGGGCGAGCCCCACACGGCTCACAATCACAGTGCAAAGAGGAGGCATGGGGCCTTCAGCTGCAGCATCCCTTTGGATCAGGTCCCAGGGCTGAGGAGGGGAAGCCACACCTAGTGGTGCCGGTCACGTCTCGGGACAGGTTGGCCTGCAAGCAGGCAGCACACGGTGGCTTCTTGCCAGGTGTGTGAGCGTGACTGGGAGGCCCTCCAGCTCCAAGGTAAACTGTTTATAGCCCTCCCGGAGAAGCAGCAGGGGCTGCCGCCCCCCCTGGTCAGGCCAAGAACTGGACTCGGGGGAGCCGACGGGGTCCTGCAAGGTTGGGCTGTTGCAGTTTATTCTGGGTCCAGCTGGACTTGGGAGTGCCCCTAATATTAGTGGGTCCACCACGTGGTCCAGAAGCTGCTGGTGAGCTCCTACACGGGAGACTGGCAGGAGGAAGCGGCAGCAAGGGGGACGCCTGCTTGGTGCTTTCGGCCCACCCCTCCCTGGCGAGGCAAATCCCTCTCCATCGGAAGCACCCCTTTGCTTGCTTGGGGCAGTGCCCCACCAGGGACCACGCCGTGGGACTGGGCAGAGTTCCTTTTCGTGGCAGGGGGCAGCGCTTCCGATTTCAGCCCTCCGTTGCTGCCCCTCAAAGCCCCCCCCCCGTACCCCCACTTGCGGGGTGCTTTGGCCTCTCTGGTCCTTGCAGCCCTAGCACAAGACTGAGCCAAAGGAACTGGATCCCCGAAACAGTGAAAGCCTCTTTTCTGCCTGGGCAATGAACAGCTTCCCTGCTCCCCGATCTTGGGATGGGCAAGAGTGAAGAAGCAGGTATTGTCGTTTTGGATGAATTCACACACTTGCCAGGGGTTGGACCAGCCAAACCCACTGAGCGCTCTTGAGGTGTGTTGGACTGCGATTCCCAGCATCCCCAGTGAGGACAGGACTGGTGGGGCACCCAGCTGAGGAAGGCTGAGTTTGATTCTGAAGCTGAGGGAGGGGTGAGAGGAAGCCAAGCCCCCATCACGGTTTGTGTGAACAGCCGTGTGGTGCAGGGAACTGGAAGGCGAGACCACAGGTAGCTGCCCGGTTGGACGAGCCCGGCAGTCACTGAGATGCTTCCCCAGAACCGCACCGAAACATCCCACCGAAATTATGCCCAGGCAGGCAGAAGCGCCACGAGCTAGAGAGGGTCTTCCCTGGCTTGATCCGGGGAGGCCTGATTTCTGGGTGGGCTCTTGCTGGCTCTGGCCATCTCCTGGCCGAGCGGGCGGGAAGGCAGCAGAGCCTGGGGCTCAGGGAAGCTTCCTTGCAGGGAGGCACCAGTTTTGGTGGGAATCAAATCAGGCGAGAGATGAATCCTGCCACGCTTCGGGCAGGTCATTCAGCTCCAGCCTGTTTCCCTGCCTGCAAATGCAGGCGACAGACACCCGTTCCACAGGGCTATCCAGTTTCAGTTCCCTCTGTCTCAGCCAGCTCCGGAGCACAAGAACTAAACCAGAAAGCCTGAGTCCTTCCAGCTGCTCAGTAATGACAACAGGGAAACGCAGGGAGTCCAAGGTCACGGACACTCACGTTCATGACGGAATCGCACGTTGAGCCAAGGAACAGCCACGTGCTCCAGCATTAACCAGCTCTCCCCACAACTGGGCACTGCGAGTGCAAACACGGTCCCGCTCTGTGTGGGCTGCTTGCGATCAGGTTTCAGCTCGGCGTCTGGTTTTTGTAAGGCGGCCGCAGCCCGTCCACATGGCAGGAGAACCGCAGTTAAATTACCTTTCCATCTTGTGAGTTTAAACAAGTTCCCTGCCCAGGAGAACTTGGAGCAGCAGCCGCGGCCCACGCCCGAAACTGCCTCCCAGGCCAAAGCAGATGCCGATCAAACGTGCCCCAAACGTGCCCCGGGCAGCCAAGCCAGTGGGGTCTGTGGGTCCCTCTGCGGTGCAGATGTGGAGCGCCTCCCTCTGGCAGCTTATGTGCGGGAAACAAGCCACCCCGTCAGCCCACAGCTTGTCGCGGAGGTCGCCGGACGCACAGCGGGTTGTCATGCCATCTGCGCCAGGGACCGAGCCCTGTTTGGGTCCGGGGCACTGGCCCGCGTGGCTCCCCATCGCCGGCGCAGTTGCCCCTTGCCAGGTGAAAGTCTTTCTGCTTCCCCTTTTGTGGCTCGTCCCCCCGTTTTCCGCAGCTCACTCCCGCCCCGGGCAACCTCGCAGGTGGCAGCCAGCGACACCCCCCGAAGCAGCACCTGCAGCAGCAGTCGCTGGCTTGCCACTTTTCTGTTTTTTGGCAGCTCAGACTTGCTGACATATTTTCCCCTTTAAAACCCCCCATTGCCGGGCCCCTTGCGAGGGGTGACGGCCGGCTCTGCACTGTCAACAGGCGGGCAGAGCGTGGGAAGCCACCCTGGAAGCCATCTTAGCTCAGGAAAGTGGGTGAGCCGGGCGGGCAGGTGGGCCTTTCCCCCGCTCCTCTCCCGGTGAGACCGTCGAGGCGTCTTGTCTTTGCTTCTGGTTTTTCCGGTGGGGGCAGGTTAGCGTTCGGGGGTTTGTTTTCGGCGTTTCGATTGGAGCCCACCCTTCTCCCTTCCTCACAGGCTCGCCCCTTTGCTCAAGACCCTCGGTGCTCCGGGGGGGGGGGGCGACCATGTCTTGACAGTGAGCTGCTGAGCTCAGGCCTCCTTTCGAAATGGGGCTCTGGCAGGGCTCCCTGGCTCATCGCTCCCGCTTGGCTCTGTCTGACAGGGATGCGTCCGTGGGCCGTTCCATCAGTGAGCAGCCCCTTCCCCCAGCGGCCTTGCCAAGAGCCCCATTCTGAAAGGCGCAGTGGGCCTACAGAGCACCAACGTCAGGAGGCCCCCCACGTCCGGGGACCTGGGGGGACTCCGTAGTGCAGGCTTGCATTTCACGGACTCTCGTGTTTGAAGGGTCCCTGGAGATCATCCAGTCCCACCCCCGTCCCGCTGCAGCAAAGGAGAAGCCTCTGCTTGCGAAGGAGCCTTCTCCCACAGCTGGGCTGCTCCCACGGTGCGGGCACTTTGCCCCGTGCTTCACCCAAACTGCCCCGTGCCCTCCCGCTCGGGGGCTTGGGAGCAGCCAGCGGTCAGCCTCCGGCTGAGTCTGGGCAGGCCGGGCGGCGCAATCAGGCGGGAGACAAACGTCGCAACCCAGAGGTGGCCTGTTCTGCGGTCCTTGTGGACTTTTGTTCGTTCGTTCGTCCTTCGTAAGCCATCCAGAGACTTTTAGTAATGGGGCGGCATAGAAAAACTTTCAATAAATAAATAAATATTCAGTAGAATGCCTGCCACCAGCCCTGAGCCAAAAGTACCAGGTGGGCAGGCAAAGTGCCTGGCGGGGGGCAGCCCCCTGCCCCCTCCCCCACTGGCGCAGCAGGTGACGTGCTGGCTTTATGGAGCGGAGCCCCAGTCTGGTTCACCAGGGGCGGGTCCCCCACTCCCCTCCTGGCCCCCCGTGGCGCCCAAGGGGGGGCAGCCACACGGGGCGCCCCACCCTCGCCAGCTAATCTTGGCGGCACAAGCAGGACGGAGGCCCGGCTGCCTGCTGGGCTGGGAGATAAGCCCCGGCCTGGCCGGGGGCCCAGGTGCAGCAGGGGCACGCTCTGCCTCTCCCTGGGGGGGTGCCGTGCCGCCCTGCCCGCTCGCCCTCCCCTGGCCGCAAGGGCTTGAGCAAACAAATACCCCCGGGCACCGTGGGATCTCCACACTCTCCGGGGGGGTCTCCACGGGGCTCGCTGGCCTTCGGGGGCTTTTGCTAGCCAAGCGGGGCTGGGTGCCAGCCTGCGCGCTGAGTCGGATCCCGTGGGGGGCGCCTCTCGGGGCTGGTCCAGCTGGCGGAGGCCTGCCTTGGCCCCCATCGCCGAAGACCCTGCTGCGTCCCGGTGAGCGTGTCCGGGAGCAGGCCGCCACCGAGCACGCCAGGCCGGGCCTCAGCCGGCCTCTTTGCCGCGGCCTCCGTGCTGGTCGTTTGGCCGTGTGCCGCGGGAGCTGGCCGGACGCTGCATCTCCTCGCTGGGCAGGTGGGCGGCCGGACCGCCCCTCTGTGCAGGGAGCGCTTGAGAGAGGAGCCTGCCCCCCCCCCGCGCCCCATGCAGTGTATCAGCCTCAGGATGGGAGCAGCCTCGTCTCCCTCCCTTCCGACCCTCCGGGAAAACCCGCGCTGGCCAGGGAGGCCCCTCCGCCGTTTCCCCGCATCAGCGCTGGACGGACTGAGCTAGCAGACGCGTCGCCAGCCAAGGCTCGCCTCCCCTTCCCCCCACGAGCCCGGGGCTGTCTCCGAGTCAATGGCCGCCCGCAGCGCCATCTGTGGAATTTCTGCCTGCCGCGCAGACAGCCCTCGTCGGGGGGAACAGGCTGGGCGTGGCGCAAGGGGCTGTCCCGGCTTGGCCCCGGACGAACGGCCGTCCCGCTGCGCGCCTGGGGCAAGTCCCCTCCTCGCGCCGTGCGCTCCTCCGCTGGGGCTGGGAAGCAGGTGCGGGGGGGAATTACAAGGCAGGAGGGGACTTGCCCCGGGAGGGTTGGGCGGGTCTCCCGGGAGCGCAGGGCCAGCGCCCCGCACCCCAGGTGCTCGTACCACCAGCCCGTTGCTCCCAAAATAATCGGCAAGCCTCCCCTGCCCCTCTCCGCCCCGCCAGGCCGGGTCCGCGTGTTCACCGGCTCCTTGCGCCTGGGTGCGACCTGCTTCGGGTGCGTTCCAGGAAGCCGGGAACAAAAGCCCTTTGTCGGAGCTCAGTCAGGAGCGCCTTGCAGGTTCCACCCTGCGCAGGAGACAAGACGCGATCTCCCGGTATTTATCTGGGGGTGGTTGCGGCAAACCTCAGCGGCGGCGCGGAAGTCCCAGGCGCAGGAGGCAAAGGCCCCAGGCATGCGGGGTGGTCTCGGCACCGGGCTGAGCCGGCAGCCGCACTCCAAGCTGCACCAGGCGCTTTGTGCGAAGGCGGGAAATGGAGACGGGCGCATGGAGACCGCGACGTCTGGCCCGCAAGCCCAGTCACTGGAATCGGGTCTGCTTGCCTGGCCACTGTTTCTCAACAGGGAGCTCAGTGGAATCCCCTGGAAATTCCCTCAAAGCTTCGCCTGAGCTTTCCGCGGGCGAAGTCATTCCGCGGTTTTGCACCAGATAAAAAATGGACAGCTGTCGCCTGGCGGAGGGAGAAGGCTGTCCCATCTGCCACGGGAGCTTCCCTGGTGCAGGGACGAGCAGCAGGGGCAAATTTTGCAGCAGGGGCAGGGCAGGATAAGGCCCTCACCCAACCCAGAATCATAGAAGAATAGACCTGGAAGGGGCCATAAATAAGGCCATGAGGCGCAGCCCTCCTGTTGCAGGACTCCAAGCCACGTCACCCCGCTTGGAAAACGGTCCAGAGGCTTTTCAGGTGCCTCCAGCGGGGCAGAGCCCACGGCCTCCCCAGGGGATCGGTCCCGCTCATCCTTCTCTGACAGTCAGGAAGCTCTTCCTGGTGTCTGGCCTACCTGGTTCCTTTGGACCCGAGTTCACCTGCCAGAGTTCTGATCACATTCAGCTTCTCGGGGGGCTCTGCAGAATGAGGATGAGAGAGACGAGCTCCAGCGATGCCTTTAGCCACACTCCTGACCGCTCTTGTGGCTCCACAGGCCTGGGGCACGGCTGGGCGTCTCCCCCGGCCCATTTCCTAGCCGGAGGCCTCCCACGGGCCCCCACTCTCACCGCCTGGTGCCTGTTTCTTCTCTGCCACCAGTTCGAAGATGAGATTTTGGACATCTGCCTCCAGCTGCTCGATACCAACCCCAAGTTCCTCGCAAACCAAGACAAGGACTGCTCCCGGCGGAACAGCCCCATCTACATCAGCAGGGTGGTGAGCGCCATGGTGAGTTCGGGGCCCCTCTGCCCCACCATGGGTTGGCAGGGAACCCCTCTGGCTGGGCGCACACAACCAGCCTCCGTGGCGGCCTGTCCACGGAACAGCCCACGGATTGGACCACAGACACTCGCTGTGGGTCATGCCTCGCTCCTCCCCGTCATCCCCCCGCCAGCCAGCCTGCCCCAGCCTGGATGCCGGCCCCTTCCCGGCAGACCCTGCCCGGTCTCTTCTTGCTGCCGTCTCCTAATCTTATCTTTCTGAGCCTTAGCAAGGCACCCTTGGAGTGATGGGGCACTCAGCTGCCTACGAATGGGGAACCGTGCTGAATTTTTTTAACGTGGGTGGCCGTCTCCAGCAGGTCATGGCGGGCAGCAGTACACACATTTCTCCTCCATTTATTTCCCAGCCAATAAATTTGCACAATGGTCTTCCATTTACTTCCGACTCCATGAAAATGCAAATATTTCCCACAGTTTAGAAGAAAAAAACTTACGGAGCGCCAGAGTGGGGGCAGCCAAGGAGCTGCGCCACCAGGAGGGGTTCTGCCCACCACCCCCAGAACGGGCTGCACTCGCTCCGTCCCGTGCAGCCACCTCCAGTGGGGATTTTTAAAAAGATCAGTGGGTCTCCGTGCAACCACAGCAGGGAGGTCTGCAAAGGAGCCCCCAGAGGGACAGGAGGGGCCTCTCCCCTTCCTGGAACAGCTGGAGAGTCGGGAAACGGCTGAAAAGTCGGAGGGCACAGAGGCGCTGCAGCTCGCCCCTGAAAACTGGAAAGATCACGGTGCCGGGGGAGACATGCCCTTTGGGGCATTTAGTCCCTTGGCTTTGCCCCTCGGTTGCCCCCTTTGGCAAGGAAGCAGACAAGGAAATTGTGCAGGCGAGACGGACGCCTCGCACACTTGTGAAAGATCACCAGCCAGACTCTAACTGCCGCTCGTCCCGGATCCCGTATTTCTGAGGCGCTGAACAATCAAGCACTGAAAGAGGAAGGATCGACGGCTGGTCCGTCCAAAGGGCGGTTTCAGCAGTGGTGGAAAGGCAGTCATGGGCGAGGTTACGAGGCGTGGGCGGGGGGGGGGGTTCTGAGCGGCTCTGCAGCCGAGCGCTGCACCCCACAATCAAACCAGCCCCCAGGTGTGGATGCTGCAACAGTCCAGCCCGGGCAAGCCCAGCCATAGGCCCCGATGGGGCTCCTTCCTGGGAAGGAGGCACCTGGCAGGTTCAGACAAAATGCCAGCCCACCGTGGCCAGTGGCCCAGGGCAGGCCCCTGCATTGTGTGAACCCGGCCGCGGTCGCCCTGCCCTCCACACTCTGGCTCACGGATGCCCCGAGCAAAGGCACCGGATCTCGGCACGCGCACCCTCCGCACTGGGCAGGCCAGTGGCATTCACGTCCAGGGCCGGACACACTCACGTCCCGCAGCCTGTACCGCTCAGGCAAGCTGAAGGCACTCCCCACATTCCCGCACCTCGGCCCCATCGTCCTTGGCATGCCGTCTCGTCAGCGGAGCCGAGGATTCCTTTGGCCGTGGCGTTTGAGCCGGAACGTGGCATGGGCCGGAAGCGGCAGGTTCGGCCGGCCTGCGAGAGGGTGGGAGGGTCGGCCATGCCTGCGTGCGTGGTCCCTCTCGCGCCGAGCCCACCATCTCCCGCTGTTTCCTGGGCGCAGGTGAACTGCCTGGACGACAAGGGCGTGCTGTTTGGGCGCTGGGACAACCAGTATGGCGATGGAGTGAGCCCCATGGCCTGGAACGGGAGCGTGGACATCCTCTGGAGGTGGCGGAAGTTCGGATGCCAGCCCGTCCGGTACGGGCAGTGCTGGGTCTTTGCCGCGGTGGCCTGCACAGGTGAGGGAACCGAGGAGTGGTCGCCCCAGCCCCCGGCCCCCCGGGCCAGGCCTCCCTTGCAGGAGAGGCTCCGCGTCCGTGGCCCAAGCGAGGCCTTGCCGCAGCCCTCCCTACCTGGCGCCTTCTGGATGCATGGTGCCGCAACTCCCGCCTTCCTACACTGGTCGGGGATGATGGGGCTTGCAGGCCAACCTAAGTAGGGAAGGCTGCTTTACCTGTTGCTCTGGGATTCCTTCCCCAACCGCACAGTTGGGAGCACCAGGAGAACGGTGCTGGACCAACCCGTGAGGGTTCTTGGTCAGGCCTCCGTTCCGACACGGGCCCAGAACTGCCCCAGGAGATGGGCGCGCATCGGGCCTTCTGGCTCTCACCCCCAGGCAGCCTGACGCGAGGGGCCGGTGCCACTCATCTTCCTCCGCTGGCCAGGGCAGACCCGTCCACACACGTGACTTCAGCTCCCTCGAATGTGGAAAGGGGCCCTCGCTTCTGCAGCGCCTCTGCCATCCGGAGCCTTCCCAGCTGCCCGTCCTCCCTGCTCTGCCTGTGGGAGATGGAGCAGGCGGGGAGGATGCGATGGCCCAGCGGTTTGGTTCTGTGTGGCCGGGCGGCGGCTGGATAGCCAGCCGGGCCTCCTGCTTCCCGCTGGCTTGCAAGACCACAGATGCGTCGAGGGCTCCCCTGTGAGTGGCGATGCGCTTGGGGAGGCTGGCTCGGGGAGCGCGATCCAGCCACGGTGCACGGGCCCGTTCCTCTCCCGCAGGCAGGGCTCGGGCCCCTGTGCTGGCCAGGTCCCCGCTCCCCGCAGGGGGCTCGGACACGGCTGTGCACCAGGCCTCGAGAGAAGGGTGGGGGTCTCCAAGGAAGGGGTGCACTGGTATCACGGCCCGGCCCTCGGCCGCCCCGGGGCCCTGAATAATTTTTCGTGGGGTGACAAAGGCAGGGAAACGAATCTCTCCCGCTCTGCTCTCAGGGCAGGGCGCTCTCAGCAATTCCCACTTGGCAAGAAAGCGTTAACATGATTTTTAAAATCCCCGTTGGGTTTTCTAATCCGTCAGCCTTGCCGAGCTGATGCTGCAAGCCTGTGGGATGAGGAAAAGCCATGAACAGATGAGACATTCAGTGTGAGAATATTGTTTATGAAAGCAAGCGAATCAACATTGGACAAGAAGAGCATTAAGCAATGCCTGATGTTTCAGGGGCGGACCACAGATGTGGTACCTAAAAAGAGTCACAAATAAACACAGGTTGCCCCATACCAAGCCGCTCTTCCTGTTAACCCTGAACTGCCCTGCAAGACCAAAGCAGCTGGACAGCCAGAGCTGGCCTTCACATGAGCGGAGACAAAGAGGCAGAGCTGCTCTTGTCCCGCTGTTTCCAGGTCCACACAGGAAGGGGCCTCCTTGCCCTGCCTCGTTTCTGGGGCGAATCCAGGCAGCGCCATGTTCAGGGGAGAAGCCGGGTGGGTCCCGCATGGGCCTCTCCACCACGGAGCCCGTCTGCTTCTGCTCTGCAATGCCCCTCCGCCCTGCCGCTTCCCCTCATGCCAGGAAACGGCTCCCGGGGCTCAGGCACCCGCTGTGGGCCCCGCACAGGTGTCACACCAGGCTTAGCCCCCTTCCCTCGGGAGGGAAACCTCTTCACCCAGTCCGTGCTTTGGTGCTTGGCCGTATGCCAGTGCAGAGGCCATCCAGGCACAGCTGCTTGTGGTTTCCCCTGCCCTCCCTCACCCTCCGCACCATGCGCAAGGTGCAGGATTTTAGCCCTGGGGTCAAAATCGCGCATCTCTCACTCTTTGGGACCTCCAGGAGTTGGCGGGATGCAGCAGTGCTGATCCGGATCTGGCAAGGCTCTTGCTTTGGTCGTCAACACCACGCCATCGGCACGCCTCCGGGCGGCTGACCGGGGGCCGGGTGGCTTCTCACTCCCGCCCTCCGCTCCGCTCTCCCCCCACAGTGCTCCGGTGCCTGGGCATCCCCACCCGCGTGGTCACCAACTACAACTCTGCCCACGACACCAACGGCAACCTGGTCGTCGAGCTCTATCTGGACGAGAACGGGCGGCAGCAGCAGGGGAACCGCGAGATGATCTGGTGAGTGGCGGAGGCGGCCGAGCCCACGGTGCCCGGCACACGCACCCAGCGGCCTCGCCCTCGCGCCTGACGGCCTGCGTGGCCTTGTTCTCCGCCCTCGGGGGAAGGAGCTTTCTGGCAGTGCAGGTAGCGGGAGACTCCGAGGGGACCTGTTGGCGACATGCAGGTAGGTGATGGGGTGCCATGCAGAGGTGGGGAGAGACCTGTTCCCCCCTGCAGAGGAAGGCAGAACGTGCTCCAACAGAGCAAAGCTCAGGGAGCCAAGGTTCCATTTGGATGCCAGGAAGCACTTCCTGACAGTCGGGACCCCAAGGGCGTGGAATGGGCTTCCACGGGAGGTGGTGGCCCCACTGGTGAGGGTGCTCAAGGACAGGCTGGACATGCACGTGGCAGGCATGTCGTGAGCAGAGCCGGCTGGAGCCGGGGGTCAGACTAGATGGCCCGGGAGACCCCTTCTGGCTCGCTCTGTTTCTGTGTTTGAGCTGTGGAGAGAACCATGGTTTGAGGAGGAGCCCAGGGCCAGGGCCAGGCCAGAGTAAAGCCAGGTGAAGCGCAGTCCCGGCGGGGATCTCCAGCTGCTGGGCTGCAGAAGCCCTTCTCTGCCGGACACCTTGGAGGGGGCTGCTCACCAGAGCTGACAATCCCACCCAGGTGGACCAGGGTTCTGTCCCAGTGCATTCTGGGGCTCTGGCGCGCATCCCCCGAGTGCCCCCCACTGCAGAAAGATGGCCCCTCCAGGCGGCCGGCCACCTGCTCTTCATGCTTGGTCTGTCGTGCAGCCCTGGCCATGGAGGAAGTGGGGCAGGCTGGGAGCCGGTGGGGCCCCGGGTGTGCTGCGGGTCTAAGCTCCGGGGTTGGAGCCGGCAGTGAGTCCCGCTGGGGCATCTGGACGCCTGTCGGCCCACGGTCTTCGGGGCAGCAGCGGCCCTGAGCAGTGCTGGGCGGTGGGGGGGGGGGCACGGCAGAAACAATACAGGCAGCCAACGGGCAGCTGCGGGCAGACGTGCCTTGGGAGACAGCGGGACCACCTTCCTGGTGGGGCTCCTGAAGTCCATGTGAAGCCAGAGCCCCCAGACAGTCGATTTTCAGTCTAAAATGCGTTTGGTGTTTCTGCCCCCTGTTCACAACTTGCCGCTCATGAGGAACCCACAACCTGCTTTGAGAGTTTTCTAGGGTCAGCGAGAGAAGCCGGCAGCCCCCTCGGAGGCACACCAGGTGCCGCAGGGCATTTCCAGGGAAATTGAGTGAAGGGATGGGGCTTTTGCGCCCTGTGCTCCTTCTGGCTCTCGCGTGCTGCTGAGAAAGGGGCTCCCGAGCCCTGCCTTGGCCGCCGCGTCGGAGTCCGGCGGGGCGTTCCCACTGTGGCCGGAAGCCGTCCGCTCTGCCGCCCGGGCAGCCTCCCCCAGCTCCTTCCGAGAAGAGCGCTCGGCTCCGGGGCTGGCAGTGGGCACTGATCAAGCGCTCCGGGAGCGGAGCAGGCGGGGTGGCTCTTCTCGGGCCCCCCCTCCGAGTCCCTCCCTCAATGCCCCTCGCTCTCCCTTCTGCCTCTTGCAGGAATTATCACTGCTGGGTGGAATCTTGGATGACCCGACCAGACCTTCCGAGCGGATACGACGGCTGGCAGGCCATCGACCCGACCCCTCAGGAGAAGAGTGAAGGTGACGGCCCCCAGGCCCCCTTCCCCGTCTCGCTGAGTTTGGTTCACGAAACTCCCGCGTAGCATGGGGTCCCTCGCAGAAAGATGCATCCCGAAGTCCGGAGGAGGCCTGGCAGAACGGACCCGCTTCCAGCCTGCCACGCTTTCCGCCTCCCGAGCCCCACCGGGGGAGGCTTGGCGGGGGGGCGGCTTGAAATGCCCAGCAGGGCCTCCCCCGACGATCCGATGGGCTGGCCGAGCACCCCTTGGTCTGCGAGGTGCCCTCTGCCTGGCCGCGGGGGGCCGGCACGAGCGTGGCCCCGATGTGCCGTGGCTGCCAGTGCGGCCGGGGCTGCAGGGCATCGCTTTCGCCCCCTGCCACGCTGACGGCCCCCTCCCCCTCAGGAGTCTACTGCTGTGGGCCCACCCCCGTCAAGGCCGTCAAGGAGGGGGACCTGGCGCTGAAGTACGACGTGAAGTTTGTCTTCGCCGAGGTGAACGCGGACGTGGCCTACCTGAAGCTGCAGAGCGACATGTCGCGGAAGCGCACCGTGCACTCCGCCGCCGTGGGCAGGAACATCAGCACCAAGCGCGTGGGCCGGGACGACAAGGAGGACATCACCCACCACTACAAGTACCGCGAAGGTGTGGGGCCCGGGGGGCTGGGGGGGCGGGGGGGGGCTCGCGGGGGCCCAAGCCCTGTGCATCAGTCGTGCCCGGTCCGTGCAGCCCCTGCCCTCTCCTTCCACGTTTGGGGGGGGGGGGCTCGCTAGCCTGCGCTCAGCATGAGTCCGGCGGCACAAGGAGGAGGCCAGTGGTGCTGTGGAGGAGGGGGCCCCTCGGCCGCCTTGGCCCCCCGCCCCGGCCGGCGCCACTCGAGCATCCCCGCGGCCTGCTTCCTCTCGGCAGACTCGGAGGAGGAGAGAGCCGTGTTTGAGAAGGCCAGGTACCAGAAGAGGCACCCACAGGCGGAGGAGGGCTTGAAGGTCAGGATCAAAGCCTCCGAGGGGATGAACAACGGGTGTGACTTTGACGTCTTCGCCGTCATCAACAACAATACCCCCACGGAGCGCCAGTGCCGCCTGATGTTCGGCGCCCGCACGGTCACCTACAACGGGACGCTGGGGCCGGAGTGCGGGTACAAGGACCTGCTCAACGTCATTCTGGACCCCTACGCAGGTACGGGCAGCCGTGGGCACGATCCGGCGGCCCTGGACAGCACGCGAGGCTGCCCTTTGCTGGGCCAGGGGAGCCGTCCTCGCAGTGCCCCGGAGCTTCTGTGGACCGAGGGCGGCTCTGTACGGAGACCGACGCTTCTGCCCAAGCCGGGGCTGCTGGGGCTCCCAGGCCCCGCGAGCGGCGTGCTTCTGCCCCCGCGTGGAGCAGAGCTGGGGTTTCTTTCCCGACGTTCCAGGCATCTCCCCGACCCCACAGGAAGTCCAGCCAGGGCAGGGCAGGGCAGGGCAGCTGCAGCCGGGCGGCCATGCCGGGACACCCACACGGCACCCAGTTTCTTGGTGTGGCACCAGGACATGCTTCCCACGCATCAGAGCCCAAGCCCTTCCCCGGCCCCACTAAGCCCTCCTGCAGGGCTCAGACACCAGCCCCACATGCCCCCAGCCCCACGCGGCCCCCACCAGGGGGTCACTTTGCCCGCCCAGGGACTCCCCGTCTCTGCACGGGCTTCGGAGTCGAGGCGTGGGACGACACGGGTGGCACGTTTCCCACGCAGGATCAGCTCTTGGCGCCTCAGGGATCACCGCTGCAGAAGCCTCTGAAGGGGGGGGGCATCTGCTGAGAGGAGAGTGGGGTGCCGGGGGTACCAGGGCGGCCAAGTGCAGGCCGGCCCCTCCCCCCGTCTGCCAATCCCACCCCTCGCCCTTCCCTTCCAAGAAGCCGAGGGGCCTCTCCTGATGCCGCAGTGCTCGGCCTGCCCCCCGTCGCTTCCTGCGCCCCCTTCACGGAACCACGGCCCCCGAGAGCGCCTCCACAGTGGAACGCCCCCCCCCCCGGCTGGAGGCGTGGCAGCGCTGCGGGAGCCCAGGGGTGGCAGCCGGCAGGTCCCCAGATGTGCCGGACTTCGGCTCTGGTAAGCGGGACTCCTGGCCAGGAATGCTGGGAGCCGAGAGCCAACACATCTGGACAACTGCCTTTTGCCAGCCCTGCCTCAGGCTCGGCTGAGCTGGGCCAGCCCAGAGTTTCAGGCGAGGACAGGAGCCAGCTGTTAAAACACGGCCGTGCACATTCCGTGTTGACGGGACGCGCTGTGCAGACAGGCTGCCGAGCTGTTTTCTTGTTGAAAAGATCAAGCCGCTAGGCCCTGTGGTTGCAAAAGCCAACTGGAAAGCATGTGAGCAGGTGTCGCTGGAGCAGGATCTCCGGCCATGACGGGGGGGAGGCGGGATTGCAGTGCAAAAGCGGGACGAGCAGAGCAGAGCAGAACTGCCAGGTTTGCCTGGTGGGCCAACAAAATACGACGTGATCTCACCATGGGATCGTTTCCCAGTTTACAGACGGAGCGCAAAACGAGTGTGCCGATGCGGAAGGTGCTTTGAGGGGTGCGCGTCTGCCCGAAACGGAGGGAAAGGCTACTTGAGCCGCCTCTGATGCGCAGCCCCATGTGCTGGCTGACAGCCTGTGGCCATGTAGACGCGCCCGAACCCTGGGACACACGGAGGGGATCTTTTGCGTTCGAGTCTCCAAGCGCCGCTTGAGAGAGGCCCCTTCATATTAGAGGAACTAAGAAGTGAAAACAACGATTAATAGCCCTGATTGTTTATGTAGGATTAACACATAGCGAATAGCAAACAGTTTATTTTAAAGTGTTTACAGAATGACTGGCTCATATGGGACTCACAAAAGCCCATAAACGTGGACTTGTGAGTGATCCGCCTCCTGGCAGACGCCTGGCTCCCGGCGGTTCGTCCGCAGAGCTGTTTCGCTGCTCCCCGCCGGCTTCACCCATCTGACGCGAGCCTCTTGCGAGCGTCAGTTCCTCCGTGCCCAGCATGCAACTGTCCTGGAGGAGAGGTTGCCTTGACTGGGGCTGATGGGGGCTGTGGGCCCAAGCCTCTGTGGGCCACAAGGGGCCCACTCCAGACGTGTAGCGAACAGTCTTGTGGAAGAGCATGCATTGGGCGTGCTGGCGAGGGAGCGCACGGGGCGAACGGCGAGGCGGCTGGAATGGGGAGCCGGTGCTCCTCGTTTCCAGTTTGTCCCTCAAGGGGGGAGGCGGAGGCCAGGGGGGCCTGTCCAGGCCACTGCCGGCTGCAGCGAGGGAACCTGCTGATGTTGTGGGTGAATTTTGGCAGCTTTGTCCACCGTCGGACTTGGAAGTGGCAAGGCTCACAAGGCCGCGCTCTTCTGGCCCCGCTCAGCCGCAGGGCTCTGGAGATGGCAGGGCTGATCTGGGCCCCTCCTGGCTGCAATGAGGGGCCTCTGTCCCCCGAGCCACGGCCCCTGCCCCAGACCGTCCGTGGGGCCGGCTGGAGAGCGGCGCTCCTCCTGCTGGAGGGACCCCTCCTGCTCAGCTCGCGCGCCCTGCTCCACGGGCTTGACGGAGGGGCGAGCAGCTCCCGGGCTTGGCAGCCGCTTGGCCCGGATCGTTCAGAGAAGGCCCCGGGGGCCGAGGCACTGGACCCTTCCCTGCCCCGTCCACCGGGCGGGTGGCAGGGAGAGGAGCCGGCAGAGCACAGGGATTAGCAGCGCTTCCGGCCTGGTGCGGAGCCGGAGGCACCAGCTCGAAGGAGCCCTGGCGCCTGCCCAGGTGGGGAGGAGCTGTCGCTTCAGCCGTGCTGAGGGCGTGCCAGACCGGGGCTCAGCCAGCCCCGCCTGGGCCCGGCGCGAGGGAGACGGTCCCCGGGAAGTGGGGCCCTCTGGCTGCCAGTCTGGGGCGGCCGGAGCCACCCCACCAGCCGCACGGAGCACCGTCGGGTGAGCCGCCCCACAGGCCAAGGCAGGCCGGCCGGCCAGCGTGGTACGGGGCGAGAGTGTGGCCTGGGGCTCAGGCAGCCTGGCTTGCGGTCCGTGCGAAGCCATGTGGCTCAGGGCCAGGCACAGGCTCTCAGCCCAGCCGACCTCGCAGGGTTGTCGCGGGAATCCGACGGAGAGCGAGAGGAGATGGTGGACGCCGCCTTCTGTGCCTTGGAAGGGGAAAAGGCGGGATGTAAATCCAGGAAAAGAAACGAGCGGGCAGGGACGGCTTTGCCGTTCCAGGGCTTGCAGCAGGAGCCGAGAGGAGGCTCGATATGCGGGGGACGGGGAGCAGCCGCGCATCAACACTTGTGGCCCCAGGGCTCCCGCGGTGGCAGGGGGGCCCGGGCGGCGGCAGCGGAACAAATGGCCGGGAGCGCCTGGGGCATCTCCGGAAGAGTCGGGGCATCTTCCCATGGCTAACGAGCCACCTCCGGGAAGGACCGGCATCGGGCCGGGGGAGATGCGGGTTCTGGCCCCCACTCAGCCACGAAGCTCTCTGGGCGGCTTTGGGGGACCCCACTCTCAGCCACGCCTACTCCACAGGGTTGTTGTGAGGGTAGATGAGGGGCTGCCTCGGGTCCTCGCAAGGAGGAAAGGCAGGGTGTGGATGCGGTGGGAAGGGCCGGGAGTATTTTTGGTGCAAGTATGAGAAAAGCGCTAGACAAACAGCTGCAGAGGCGAACGACGGGAGCCTCGCCCCCGGACCGTGCGCCTTCTGGCCCGGGAGTGGCGTCCCTTGTTCCACTCACAGCTGGGAAGGGAAGGGATGCAGCTCTCCTCCCCGGAGCCATTTCCACTGCCCGCGAGCGCTGCAGGTGCCGAAGGAAGCTTTGGCAGGCAGCCTTATCTTGCCAGCGGTGTGCGCCATCCGGCAGGCCGCGGCTTCGGCGGTGCCCCGCAGAGAGGTCAGGAATGAGGCCTGCAGCAGCCCGATCGAGGGGGACGCTGCACCCCTTCGCCGAGGCGAGCTGAGCGCCTCCAGGCGGTGGGGACCCACTCCGTGTGGCCGGCGCGGGTCAAGCGCCCCCAGGCAGCGGGTGCAAGCCAGACAGGGCGATGGGAGCGTGGCCGCGGCCCGATGCCTCCCTTCCCAGCTGGCCTGCGTGCACGGAGACGGGAGACACGCAGCCCTGGCGCTCGGGCCCCCTGCAGCCGGTGGTGCTGCTCTCTCCTCGGCGCCCCTTCCTCTGCCGGCTGCGGGGAGGGGCTGGCGGCTGCACATGGACCCCAGGGGGCAGGCGTGGCGGGGCGGCTCCCGAGGCAGCGCGGCCTAGAATGCCTCTCCTTCTGGGGGTCACCTGCTGGCTGATGCCCCCCCCCCCAAGCAGCCTTCCAGGCAGAAAAGCGGGCAGGTACACCAGCTGTGCCAGGTGCCTGGAAGGGCCCCGAGGTTGGCCTATGTACGTAACTGGCCTATGTATGTAACTGGAGGGCCGAGGGGCCTGGATGCGGCCCTTGCCAACCCCCCCGCTTCCTCTCCAGAGAGGGTCGTCCCGCTGCGCATCCTCTATGAGAAATACTGCGACTGCCTGACCCAGGACAACATGATCAAGGTGATGGCGCTGCTTCAGGAGCAGGAGACCCAGGAGATGGTGCTCAGCGTCAGGGATATCTACGTCAAGAACCCGGACATCCGAGTCAGGGTGAGGCCCGGGGAGCGCGTGCAAGGCCACAGCGCGGCGGGACCCTGGGGCCGGGCGCCCCCGCTTCTGGGCTGCGTGCACAGGTGGAGCTGCCCTCTCTGGCCCGCTGGTTCTCGCGCCGCTCTCCAGCCACAGCGCTGCCCGGCCCCCCGCTCGCACAGGGCGGCCTGCCCTGGGGCGCCCCCTCTGGGCGGCGAGCGGGTCCCTGGCCCCCGCGCATGTGGGTCCAGCCCGTGCCCTGAGGCGGGCGGCGCGGGGGGCTCGGGGCGCCCACACCAGCTGCGAGGGGCGCGGGCATGGGGGGGGCGCACAGGCAGTGACCTTTCCGCCTCCTTCCGACCGCAGATCCTGGGGGAGCCGATGCAGAAGCGCAAGCTGGTGGCCGAGCTCTCGCTGACCAACCCGCTCCCCTCCCCACTGAGCGGCTGCGTCTTCACCATGGAGGGCGCCGGCCTCACGGAAGGACAGAAGAGCCAGGAGCTGTAGGTGTCTCCCCCCGGCTTCTGCCCCCCTATGGCCGGCCCGCTTGCCGGTCGGCCTCACGCCCAGGGAAGCGCAGGCTCTCCAGCGAGGCCCCCGGAGAGTCCTGCAGGGGCTTTGGGGTGTGCCTGACGCCCCGCTGCAGGGGCACGCACAGGTCTTGCGGGTCAGCTGAGGGCGCAGGCTTGGGCAGCGTCTGACCTGCCCGTGGGGGTCCCAGGCCAAGCAGGGAGTGGGCTGGGAAAGACCCACCTGGGGGCCCTGCACTGCAGCCAGCCCCAAGCCGGGGGTCCGTCTGCCCTGGGGCCGCGCGTGGGAAGGCCATCGCCCTCCTTGGCTGCAGAAACAGGTGCTGCACGGGGCTGCCTGGGGAGGGGCTGCCAAAGCCACCACCCACTCCCCTCCTCCCCAGCATGAAAAAGTGGGATGAAGGGGGCTGTGGACCTATTTTGGCCTGAAAAGGAAACGCGCCTGATGCTCTTTGAAGCACTTGTGGCGGCCAAGCCTCACGGGAGCCGGCAGAGCGCCGAAGGGGGTCCACGGGGCAGGCGAGCTCGGCCCGCAGAGGCCAACCCTGCCAGCCTGTGTCCAGAAGGCCCCCGGGAGGGAGGGAGGGCTCTGCTTGGCCCATCACCATGTGCTTGGGAGGTGCCAGCCGTGGTGCGGGGTGCCCCCTGCCCCGTGAGCTGCGGGCACCTCGCAGCCCCGGCGCTGGCCGGCCGGCGCCCTCTTGGCAGAGCTCACGGCCCGGCGGCTGACCTGGCCGCGCCGCATTCGTGTCCCCGCAGGGACGCCCCCGTCGGGCCAGGCGAGGAGGCCAAGGTGCGGGTGGACTTCGTGCCCCGGCAGTCGGGCCTGCGGAAGCTGGTGGTGGATTTCGAGAGCGACAAGCTGAAGGGGGTGAAGGGCCACCGGAACGTCATCATCGCCCCCCTGCGCAAGTGACATCGGCCTCGAAAGTGGGGAGGCCGCGCGAGCCTCTGGGGGCCAGGAGGGCCGGGGGCCCTGCGCCATCGCCTTGCCCCGCACGAGCCTCCCCTTCGCCACGTTGGACGAGCCTGCAGTGGGGGGGAAGGCTGCGCCTTCTGCTAACGGCCTTTCACAGTAACCCCAGCTATCACAACTCCACAAGCAGCCACATGCCCCCCGCCACACCGCCCCAGGCGCTTCTTTTCTAAATCCTAAGCATTTTCAAACAGAAAAGGTCCCTGCAGTTTACGGCTAGCTAGGCAATGCGAGAGCCGTGCACCTTTTTCCGCCTCAACATGGGTAGGACTAAACCTCCTGCCCCCGGGGCCTGTTTTACAGACTTTCTGCTGCTCACGGTTCAAAGTCTGTCGCCCGCCCGCCCGCCTGCCCGCCCGCCCGGGCTGGCTGGCGTGCCAGCAGCCAGCGGTGGAGGGCGAGCCGGCCTGGGCCACGTGCTCAGCGCCAGGCCAGCGGGTCAGCGGTCTGTCTCGCGACAACGCAAGGGCAAGGTACCCCGGCCGGTTGCGTGCCTGGAAGCGAGCGCTCCTGCAGGATCTCCAGCGACGGAGGAGGGGTCTTCGCAGGGGGGGTTCACACCCTGGGGACTCTCCCTAACCGAGAAGGCAAAGACTCCGTCTGAAGCCGGCCGTGGAAGGTGGCCGCCCTGGGCCTGCCGGGGAAGCGCAGACATCCGAGTCTGCGAGCGGCTCAGGAGGGCCCCGTAGCAGCTCGTCTTTGCCCTTTTCCTCGGCCGGCGTTAATCCTCGAGCTGAAGAGAAGAAGCCGGCCGGCGCTGTTCGTCGGCGGAAAAGCAGCGATGGGCGCGTGGCCAGCCCTGCAATGGCTCTCTGTCCCCCTCGGGGCTGTTTCTGGGGGGGTGTGCACGTAGGAGTGCCGGCCCACCTGGGGGGGGCCGGCCGGCTGCGAGGCTCTTGCCCCCTTTTGCCAAGCTGGGGACTCGCGTGCCTGTAGTTGCGCTATGGCTGGACCAAATCTGCAGGCGACGTTTGTGCCTGGAGAGGGAAAGAGTGGGTGGCAGCCTTTCCCAAGCCCCTGCCCTCTGGATGTGTTAGACTACAATTCCCATCATCCCCAGAGGGTAGGGCCATTGGGCGGTGTGGTCCCGGAGAGGGAAGGCTGCCCCGAGGCACTGCAAAGATGAGGCCAGAGTGGGGAAGGTCAGGCGGATGCGGAAGAGCCAGTAGGGAACAGACCGGAAGGCCCCGGGCAGGGCCGGGCCGGTGGGAGAGCGCCCCCAGGAGAGAAGCCCCGCATGAGGAAGAGGAGGGGCGCGGGCCGCCTCGCCCGCTCTCTCCACTGAGCCACGCGGCTTCCGATGCCACAGAGGCCCCTGGTGCAGCGAGGGGGCGCTGGGGCAGGGGCCGGGGCGCTCTCGCCCGTCGCCGTGTCCCCCGAGGGGCTCTGGCGCTCGGTGCGGCGCCTCTGCTCCATCCCTCCTCCTCTCCTCTCGCCCCAGTGGCAGCGGGTTCCCTCGCCTCATCTGAGCCACGACGTGCGCCTGCAGGTCTTTGCACGGAAGCCTCGCCGAGCCCGTCCGGCACCAGAGCCGCCCGCGGGCCACACGGTTGCGCACGGCTGAGGAAGACGGCAGAAGAACGAGCCCGGCCTGAGGGGGGAAGGGCTGCACAAATGAACACGGCAAGGGGGGGGGGCTTGGGGGGGGGGGGGCGGGGGGGGGGGGCTGTCCGGGCACTCGCTTCATTCCTGCCTCACGCCTCTTGCAAATGCTCTTTAAATGCTCTTTTCCCAGCTCCGATGACGGGCGATTGATGCATCACCAAATAAAGAGTCACTTTTCACTTTCCAAAGGGCTGGGGCTCTTCTGCCTACCCAGGGTGGGGCCATGAATGACTGGCCGGGGGCAGACAGGGCCCAGTCAACAGCCCCCCAGATCACCCCTCGCCTTTGGCCATCGTTCTGACCTCCGCCCCAGCAATTTTGGATCCTCTGGGGGCAGCACTGGGGTGCCACATCCGGGGAGGGGGGAGCCCTCTGCATGATATTTGCAGGGGGTCCTGTGAGGGCACCGGCCCGGCCCACGGCCCGAGGAAGCCGCAGTGTGAGGTCTGCCCACAGGGCCTCTGGTGCGCAGGGTCCCTGGGTGCATGACCGGCCACCCCCCACCCTCCCCGTGGGGCAAAGCGCAAGCGCGAGAGTCACTGCGGGGAAACGGGTGACCCTCTGAAGCAGGCCCTCTGCAGCTGGCTGCAGCTTGAGCTGGCCCCCCCAGGCCCATGCCCCCTGCACGAGCGATGCAGGGGGAAGCGGAGGGGAAGGGCCCCCGGCTGGGCTGCACTTCCCTGCATCACGGGCATCGCTTGGCCGCCTTGCGGGGCAGAAAATCCCCCAGGGTGGGGGGCATCAGGAAACCAGCCGCGGCAGCAACCGTGGCAGGAGAAGGCCGGAGCAGAAGAGCACGCCTCAGAAGCCTGCCATGACGGAGCCCGGCGCATCCCAAGGAGCAGTGCAGGGGCCACCACACGGAAGGCCCTCTCACCTCCAGCTGCTCTCACAGACGGGCAGACGAGGGGGGCCTCTGCTGACTGGCCTGCACGGGCCATTCTTGGGTGGTTGCGCCCCAAACAGCTTACGGCTGTTTTTAATCAGTTAGAGCTTTTTTCAGCCGTGCCTGGGGGCTTCCTAGCAAACAAGGCAGCATATAAATGTTAATCAATACATTAGCCCATTAGCCGTGGCATTTAGGCATCCATTCAGTCCCACTGATTTCAGTGGGTCTTCTCGAAGTATGAGGGAAACGGGACCCCACCGCGCAGCTTTGCCATGTCCTCCTTCACAAAGAGTGGGAACTGGCAACGGGGGGGGGGGGGGGGGGTGTTCCTTGCTCAAAGTTCAGTCGTTGCCTTTGGAAATGGTTCTGCAGGACATGACTGCCACTCTCGGAGAGCGATCACGGGGGAAGACGGAGCCTGGGGGGCACAGGCTCCTTCCACAGGTAACGGCAGCCCAAGCCAGCACGGCCGGGCGCCAGGACGGGCCGCGCAAGCGCAGGGAGGCAGCGCTCACCCCCTGGCACAGCTCCCGCCTGGCACCTCCGTGCCTCTCATGCCTCCTGGTGGTGCCGTGGATTCCGGCAGTGCACGCAGCGGCCAGGCCTCCCGGAGCACCAGCAGGGCAGGGCAGCGGATGGGGCTTCGGAGGAGGGCTCCGGCGGGGCAGGGGAGGGCGACCGCCCACTCCGCCAAGCAGGTGGCCCGGGAGATGGCCAGCTCCCCCTCCTGCCTGGGGGAGAGAGCTGATGCCCCTGCCCCCGCTTCTGCTGAGAGAGAGCCAAAGGAGATGCCTGGGGCAGGAGGCGGGAAAAGCCAGACGGCTCCTCCGGCAGCCACGCCAAACGGCAGCGGCCAGTAGCCTTGCTCCGGCTGGCCGCTTGCCAGCATGGCGATCCCGGCTCTTCCCCGGCAGCAGTCCTGTTCTGGGCCCAAACCGCGAGGGGTTCTGCTGTTCACGGCTGTACAAGGTGACATGCCGTCGGGGCGAGGCGAGGAGGCGAGGCGAGGCCCGGGCTGGCCGCTGGCGGGCGAGAGGCGCGCGGGCTTGGTCTGGCTCCCGGCGCGGCTGACGAAGGGCCAGGGCGGCCCCGCTCCCGTTTCCCTGGAAGGGAGAGGAAGCGCCGGGCCGAGTCGGGAGGAAAAGGGGAGACGCACGAGGCCCTCCGCGGAGCTGCCCGGCGAGGGACGGGGAGCGCGCGGCCGCTCGGGGCCAGGCGGGCCTGGGAAGCCCAGCCGAACCGCTGCCTCCGCCGGCGCGCCACGTGCCAAGCGCGCACAGCGGAGCGAGCGCTTGGCTTTGCGAGGGCAGGATCGCCGCGGCAGCGCCCTCACATGCGCGGGGCGCAGCGCCCGACCCTCTCGGACATGCGGGCGCACTGGGCGGCCCGGGAGCCTCCGTGGGCCCAGCGAGGGGTCGCTTCTGCGCCTCGTTCCGCGCAACGCTTCGCCTCGCCGGCGGACACCACGCCCGGGCGCTTCCTTCCGCAAGCGTCCCCGGAGCTGCTCGGAGGAGCGCCCCGGCCGCCGGCGAAAGACCCTCTCGGCTGCGGACCCCCCGTCCGGCAGAGCAGGCTGTGGCCCGCGGCTGCCCGAGCCCCGCCGGAGCAGTGTTCGCGTCGGGGGTCTGCGGAAGCGCCCCTCGCCGGGCGCCCCTGCACGGATACGCGGGCTTGGGGGGGGGGCAGAATATACGGGAGGGGCTCGCTGGCGGGAGGATGAACAGCCGCTAGTTCGCTAGTCCCTGCTGACCTGCGAAGCGGGAACAGCGCCGCCTGCAGGGGGCTGGGGGTTGCTGGGGTCCCTGGTTTAACGAGGGGCAGCAACGGGCCAGGCAAGTGCATGACTCCCGACCCCCAACCCACCCCACTCAAAAACCACTCAGGCAAAATGGAGCAGCGCTCCTCACAGCACCACCCCAAAGTGCTTCCCCAGCCAGGTCCATCCAGGCCGCGCCCATCGCTTTTACTGGCCAATGTCGCACCCAAGGTTCTCGGGCCCTCGGGCCCTCCTCGGGGGCCTGGTGTGAAAGGCCTGGGCAGAGGCGTCTCACGCCAAGCAGCGCCTCTGGTGACTTCCGGCACCCACCGCGTGCCCCTCGCCGGAAGCGGCAGCCTGCGTTGGCTTCGTTCCACCGCACAGCAGAAGCCCAGGTGGAAGCACGGCGACCTTGCAGGTGTGGCGCTCCAGTTTCCGGCAAGCGGGACGATTTGTTCAGAGCCGAAAAGAGCGCGCGTGCCTTGGCTTTGCTTGGCGTTCCGAGGGAAGGTGGCTTTTCACAGTGCCAGCCGCAGGACCCCCCCCCCCCCCCGGTGTGGTGGCCCTCCAGTTGGCTTGTTAGCACCCAGTTCCTATTTCCTAGAAGCGAGAATGGACAGCAGTGGGACTCCAGCCAGCGCCTGCTTAGCGAGGCCCTGGAACGAGCGGGCACAGGGCGTTCTGGCTCCGGAATACACAAGCAGTCATTCTCCGCAGCTCTCTGCCCCCTTACCTCCCACTGCCCCCCGGCCAAATACGAGTCCGGGGGGGTCTCTGGTGAGCCACTGGGCTGCCGGAGGGGTGCCCCCCTGCTTAGCTGGTGGACCCTCCGGATCCAGCTGCTGCCCAGGTCCTTCACCAGGGGCGTCGAGGCTGGCAGGGACTTGTCCTGGCACTACTGGCCCAGAAGCCACTGCAGACGGGGCCGAGAGACCTCCGGGCACTCCGTGTGGCATTCGGCTCTGCGATCCCCCCCCGAATGCTCAGAGCCCCCATGTCCCCTTCTCTGCATCACTCCCCTGAAAGGGTTATTTCTTCCTGGGGAGGTCGGCTTGCTGCCCCGTGCCCAAACCCAAGATCAGACTGAAGGAAGGTTCTCACCTAACTGCACCCGCACCAGCTTTGATTGATTTGCACCATGCCTGGAAGGCCTCCTGGAAGTAACTTGAGGCCGGGGGGGGGGGTGTCTGGTGGGTTTGTGGGGCCAGGCTCGGATGCCTTCTTGGCTCTCCTCGCACAACATCTTGAGTGCACTGGGCAGGGTTCCTCGATGGCCGCCTGTCCCAGGGAGACCAGTGGGACCACTGGGATCTCTGGGGAAGGCCGGACCACGGCCCCCCACCGGCTTCCCCTTGGGTGGGGCTGCAGCAGCCGCCAGTCCCTGCAGCAGCCTCGGCCATCGGGAACGGCTTCCAGCAACGCTCTCCTCTCCGAATTTATTTTTACCCAGTACTTGTTTACTCTGACTGTCTCCAGGCATTCACTGGTCCTGGGTGCCACCCTGAGCATGCAGAGACAAAAGGCCTGCGGCTCCAGCTTGGCCCCCCAGCGCATCGGGACCTGGGGGCCCTTTTTGGTGCAAACACGCCAGGACCGCGTCCAAAGGCGCTTTAAGCCCCATTTTATGGCACTTTGCAATTCGTAATGTTGTCACGTTCTGTAGCGTTCTGCGGTTCTGTAATTTATTCTAAACCAGAATAAATAAATTAATTCATAAATATTTCAAATACAGGATCCGTCCTCCAGGCAGCCTCCCAAGAAAATGTTCCTACAGACAGAGAGGGCTGGGAGAGGCCGCTGCGCTGTGTGCCCGGGACCTTCTTCGTGCCGACAACGCTGCTGATCCCGGCTCTAAAAATAGCCCCTTGCCGTCTCTGGTCTGAGGCCAGGGCCTGATCGAGAAAGCCTCAGCACGGCCCCTCGGGGAGGCCGGCTGCATCCACCCCCCCCCCCGGCAGTGCGCGCTTGGGGGTCAGCTTGCAGGCTGGTGCATCGCGCACACCTCTCCAGGCTTGGCGGCTGCACTGAAGGGACCTGGCGAAGGGACCACACCTGGCAGCAGTTCTGGTCACCACACCTGGAAAGGGAAATGGGAAAACCGGGAAAGGTGCAGAAACATAGAGTCAGAAGGGGCCTTCTGGGTCATCTAGTCTGACCCCCAGCTCCGGCCGGCTCTGCTCACGACATGCCCACCATTTGCACGTCCAGCTTATCTTTGAACACCCGCACCTCCCGTGGAAGCCCATTGCACACCCTCGGGGTCCTGACTGTCAGGAAGTGCTTCCTGGCACCCAAATGGAACCTGGGTTCCCTGATCTTTGCTCCATTGGAGCACGTCTTGCCTTCCAGTGCTGGGGAGAATAGGTCTCTCCCCACCTCCGTGAGACACCCCCTCACGTACCTCAATGTCGCCAACAGATCCCCTCTGAGTCTCCTCTTCTCCAGGCTGAAGAGACCCAATTCCCTCAGTCTCACCTCTTACGGCCTCCCCTGCAAACCGGCCACCAACCTTGTGGCCCTACACTGCACTGACTCCCACCTGG